GAAAGGGAATCTGTCCCTTTCAGAGCTTCCAGACTCAGTGCCATTCCCTCTTTCATAATCTTTTGCAGATTTGTGCAAGGGAAGAGTTACTTCCATGTAAGTTTGGAGGGAAAATAACGCGCTTGGATGGCATTTAGAGAAAGCAGGGAAGCATCACTGCAGCCAGTGATGCAAGAGACAAAGCACCTACTGAAGTACAGAATAGTTCTTCAACAGAACGAGCTAAGAAATCTAGGAACGTTTACCAGTGGTTTTCCCTGGAATTGTGGTTGTTTTTATACACAGAAGTGTGTTGCTTTTATTTACAGCAGTTAACAGTATACCCTGACCTGGATGGGAACCACAAGGACCATGAGTCCAACCTCTGGCCCTGCACAGACATCCCAACAATCCCACCCTGTCCTTGAGGGTATTGTCCAAATGCTCCTGGAGCTCTGGGAGAGTCCAGCTCCTGGCCCTGCACAGACACCCCAACAATCCCAGCCTGGGCACCCCTGGCAGAGCTGTCCAAAGGCTCCTGGAGCTCTGGCAGCCTCGGGAATGTCACCATTCCCTGGGGAGCCTGGGCAGTGCCAGCACCCTCTGGGGGAAGAACCTTACCCTGATATCCCACCTGAACCACCCTGGCACAGCTCCAGCTCTTCCCTGGGTCCTGTCGGTGGCCACCAGAGGGAAGAGATCAGTGCCTGACCCTTCAGCTCCCCTCATTAGCAAACTACAGACCAGGGTGAGGATTCCCCCATTGTTATCTGTCTTGAACATGCTGGTTAATCTTTTTGTATCACAACTCTGCTCAATGCTCCTCCATTTTTTTCAGTTTAACACCAACATTACATGTTGGTAATAATGACTTCAACACAAAAACTACTTGCTCTGCCTCCAAGACTGTCTTCCTGGCATTGCACTTTGCACTTGTCTCTACCTTCATGCAGGATTATCTGCTAGTGTTGGGTCATTCAGAAATCCTAGGTGTCTTTGAAGTTATTAGATATTGATGTTGTATCTCCTTTGGCCACAAGCTTTGGGAAGTCAACATGTATCCTCTGTAGCACAGCACAGCCAGCTACTGCTTCATCATGTTTTTTTTAGGTCCTAGGTTATTTCATACCAGCACAGAATGGTTTGGGTTCGAAGGGACCTTGCAGATCATCTTGTTCCACAGGCAGGGACACCTTCCACTAAACCAAGTTGCTCAACCTCCTTTGTTCTTTTTAGCAGACAGATGACAGATACCGCTGAGATGTTGCTGTCTCTGCACATGAATGTCCTTGTGAGGATGCTGAACCCCTCACACACGTTCAGAGACCTTAAGGGAGATGCTCACGTTCTCACACTGCAGCCTCAAATCCAAATGGGACTGGCAGCCATTTGTACTTAACTGCTAATGGCCAAAAAGTGCTGAGCTACACGGTTTGAGAAACATGTGGACCTGGAGCGAGTCCAGAGGGGGTCATGGAGCTGCTGCCAGGGCTGGAGCCCTTCTGCTCTGGAGCCAGCCTGGGAGAGCTGGGGGTGTTCACCTGGAGAAGAGAATGCTCCAAGGAGACCTCACTGAAGGCTTTCAGTACCTAAGGGGATATTATAAAAAGATGGAGAGCAACTTTTTGCTCAGCAGATAGTGAAAGGACAAGGGGCGATTGTTTTAAAGTACAAAAAGAAAATATTTAGATTAGACTTTTGGAAGAAATCATTCCCTTTGAGGGTGGGCAGGCCCTGGCACAGGTTTCCCAGAGAGGCTGTGGATGCCCCTGGATCCCTGGAAGTGTCTAATGCTGGGTTGGACAGGGCTTGGAGCAACCTGAGGTAGTGGAAGGTGTCCCTGCCCGTGTCAGGGGAGTGGAATGAGATGAACTTCCAACCTTCTAGTCCAGACCATTCTAGGATTCTGTGATTAATTAATAGGACATAGCAATATCCAGCTTTGGTGTCAGGGATCAAGTTTTACAATTTCTTTTACTAAAATCAAGTATTATTTCAAAGAATTGTAAAATAGTTTGGATTTGGATTTGGATGAGACCTTTAAAAGTCATCCAATCTAACTCCCTTGCCAAAGGCAGGGATATCTTCAATGAGATTAGGTGTCTGAAAGCCCTGTTGAACCTGACCTTGAATGTTTCCAGGGTTGCAGCATCCATCAGCTCTCTGGTCAACCTGTGCCAGTGCTTCATCACCCTCATAAAAAAACCCCCAAAAAAACCTACTAATAACCCATCTAAATCAATGTTCTTCCTGGAGGTGCAGGCATACAGCTGGGAGCTCTTTCTAGAGCAGATGCACATCCTGCCTGCCTGCCTTCTCCACAACCACCCTGCTTCTCAGGTAACTTCTGGGCTCTGGGATTTGCAGCCCTGATGCTGCCTTCTTCCATTCACTTTCTTCCTCCTGCTGCTTGCAATTTCCTTTCCTAGAGAAAGGTTTATGCAAATGTTGGATTTCTCTGTGTGTGTGTGGGTGTGTTAGGGTCCCCCAGTATAAGCTGGCCAACCTTTTGACTGATTTCAACCACACCTGTAAGAGAAGCAGAGCTTCTGGAAATACAAAGTCAGTCTAGCTCCATGGCAAACAGCGGCTGCATTAGAGAAGACACGTGTTGTTAAGTGCTCTGCCAGGGAGAAAGGCAGGGAGAGCTCAGCCCTTATCAGCACTGCTTGGCTTCCTTGGCAGTAGATAAGGGGCAGGCAGCTGGCCAGCCAGAGTACACACATCCCTCAACCAGGCACAGCATGTGCTGCTCCAGACAGAAGGCCAAGACAAGTAGGCTGGGGACATAGAAGGGAGATTTGGATGTATCAGGAATCAGCCTTGGAGACAGGAGGAGAGGGAGCCACGAATCTGTTGCAGAGGAGAGGTGAAGGGAATGTCTGACGCAAATCCATATGAAAACTGAGCTTAATTAACTTACTCTTCATAGGAAAAAAAAAAAAATAAAATCTCCCTGAATGCAGTGAAACCTCCACAAAACAAGTGCTGTGCTGGCTGAATAGTCTGTATACGTTTCCAGGCACAACAGGACTGGAACACCTTATCTTTCAAAAACATGATGGCAATCTCTCAGATGCTTTGCTTTGTCTGCAGAGGGGATCTTCTCCATTTCACTTCGCTATTAATTTCACGACTACCTTGAATCTCTAACGTTTGGGACTGGGTGAAAATGTTACCAAAAAATTAAGCCACATGTCTGGAAAATCCAGGCACAAAAGAGGCAAGAGTGGGATTTTTGTGAGTCCACATTCTGTAGAAGGGCTAAATATTGTGAAGTGTTTCACGTGGCTGCTGGGAATGCCAACCCTGTTGAGGTGGGACCTGTGCCCAAGACACTGAACCATAACACCTACATCACTGAGTCCAGAAACCCTTTCAGTCTAGAAGATGAGCGTGACTCTGGAGAGACAACTGCTACATTAGGGAGATGTGACCTCAGGTGTGAAGGAAGTGGCTTGAAGTGGAGATAAAAGATATATTAAGTATCAAAAAGGCAAAAGCAAAAAAAATAACCCAGAGGATCTCCAACAGACTTAGAGCAAATCCAGAACTGACCTTCTCACCCCAAAAAAAACCCCATTAAACTCCCACCTTGTGGCTTCCCACTCATAAAATCATAGAATGTTAAGGAGCTGGAAGTGACCTTAGAGTTCATCTAGTCCTGACCCCCACTGCCATGAGCAGGGACACCTTCCACTAGACCAGGCTGCCCCAAGCCCCATCCAACCTGGCTTTGAGCACTTACAGGGTTGGGGCACCCATGACCTCCTTGGGCAACATGCCCCAGTGTCTCACCACCCCCATAGAAAAGAATTTCTTTCGAATATCTAACCTAAAGATCATCTCTTTCAACTTCTACCCACTCCCCCTTGTCCTGTCACTGCAGTTCCTGACAGAGAGCCCCCCTCTGGCTTCCTTGTGGGCCCTTTTGGATACTGGAAGGTGTTGTGAAGTCTCCATACACCCTTCTCTCTTCCAGGCTGAACAGCCCCAGGGAACCTGCTGAGCATCACTGCAAGGGTCTCTGCAGGCAGAACAACCATGGGTTTCACAGACTGAGGGGTCCCCAAACATGCACTATCCCAAACATTCCCTTGTGGTGACCCTGGGTCCCTGAGGAGGTGAAGGAATTTGGTTTTCTTTCACCATTACCTCAACACAAATTATTAAAGCTTTGCAGAGACTGTAGAAGGCAGAAGCTAAAACCACCCCCAACCCATGGGGGAAAACTGCTGTGTTAAGAGTTACTGAGTATGGGGTGCACACAGCAGAGGGAGGCTGGGAAGTGTCTGGGACTGCCTTGTGGCCATGTAACACCTCAGGACGCCTGGCCTGGAACTGTTGTGCCATTGTGGGACATGAAGATTTGGGCATTTTGAATATATTTAGAACCACAAAATCGTTTAGGCTGGTGAAGCCCTCCAAGACCAGTGAGTCCTACCATTCCAACACTGCCGAGACCACCACTGACCCACGTCCCACACATCCACATCCACATGGCTTTCAAATCCCTCCAGGGATGGAGATTCCACCACTGCCCTGGGCAGCTCTGCCAGGGCTGGACAAGCCTTCCCTGAAGGAATTCTCCCAATATCCAACCTCAACTTCGCCTGAGGCTGATCCCTCTCCTCCTGTCCCTGTTCCCTGGCAGCACAGCCCGACCCCCCCCGGCTGTCCCCTCCTGGCAGGGACTTGTGCAGAGCCACAAGGGCCCCCTGAGCCTCCTTTTCTCCAGGCTGAGCCCCTTTCCCAGCTCCTTCAGCCGCTCCTGGGGCTCCAGCCCCTTCCCCAGCTCCGTTCCCTGCCCTGGACACGCTCCAGCCCCTCGGGGTCTCTCCTGGGCTGAGGGGCCCAGAGCTGTCCCAGCACTGGAGGTGCCTCAGCAGCGCCGGCACAGGGAGGCGGTGGCTGCCCTGGTCATGGTGTCACACTATTGCCGGTAGGAGCCAGGTACCAGTGCCCACCCGTGCAGACCCCAGCTGGAGTCCAGCGGCAATTCCCACCGGGAATCAACGCACTTTTTCTCAGCTCGCACCATGCCCACCGCGGAAGGATACGGAGCCGGAGCGCCGCACTGCGGCTGCGCTGCTGCAGTTCACCCAAACCTCCGATAACACCGATCAACCTCCCGCGGCGGGCGCGCGGGCTGTGACTGACAGTCAATCTAACCAATGAGCGCCGCGACCCCGACCCGCCTCCCTCGCCTCACGCCTGTTTCTTCCACTCCCCTTCCCTTGTCTTTTTTTTCTAACGCTGCGGGCATTCCATTGGCGATTCTGACTGCCAATTAGACTCCTAGACCAATCGCAGTGGGGCTCTTTAAGGAACAGATAAACGCAGCCAATGGGCCGCTTCCCCGCCCAGCGGCGGGGGCGGAGCGGCCCGAGGGGCGGGCCCTCGGAGGAGGTAACGCTGAGGGAAGAGGCGGCGGCCGCACAGCACTCGGGGAGACGGAGGAGGATAAGGAAGGGGAGAGGAGGAAGAAGGAGAGGAAGGAGCGGTGGCTCTCGGCGGATCCTGGTGACTCCCGGTAGGTGCTGGTGGGTGCCGGGTCCGGGGTCCGTGCCCGTGCCCCGTGGGCAGGGTCGCACCGCTGGCGCTGCGCGGGCCGTGAGGAACCGTCCGGGCCT